TTTACAGAATATAATGGTTCCATTCCTCAGCAGGAGTTGGTGAACATACCTAACACAGCTTACTTCTTTTTTCTCCATTTCCTCCTCCCTCGAACTCTTAGTTCTTTTCCCTTTTGCAAAGGATCTGTCTCCTATTATCTATCTTTTATTTTGGTCTTTAACTTATTTATACTTTTGGTTTCTTAGAGAAAAGAAAATATGCCATACTTAAGGCCATGTGTCTAAATTATTCACTTAACGTTATGGTCTCAAAGTACACTGTTTGTATAGGCAACTCAAATTTATCCTTCTTTGTGGCAGAGTAGTATTCCACTGTGTATGAGTACTACATTTTCTTCATCCATTTATCAGTTGATGGATATATAGGTTGCTTTCAAGATATAGCTATTATGAGTTGAGCTGCTATAAACATGTGTATGGAGCTAGCACTGCAATAGAATATCATTAAATCTTTCAGGAATATATGTAGAAGGGCTATATATGGATCAAATGAAATTCCTATTTTTAATTTTTTCAGGAATTTCCATAGTGATTTCCATAGTGGTTGTGCTAGCTTGCATTTCCACAACAATGTCCTAGAGTTCTTTTTTCCATACAACCTTGCCAGCATTTGTTATTATTTTATTTCTTGATGGTAGACATTCTTTATGGGGTACGATGGAATCTCAGGGTTATTTTAATTTGCACTTCTTACACAACCAGAGATGCTGAATACCTTTTCATGTATTGATAGCCATCTGTACTTCTTAGAAGTGGACAAGGGTCCCTTTTTCCCCGCAGCCCCTCCAGTATCTGTTATTGGTTGATTTCTTGATGATAGCCATTCTCTCTCGGGTGACAGAATCTCAGTGTTGTTTTCATTTGCATCTCTTGAATGGCCAGTGATGTTGAGCATTTTTTCATATATTTATTTGCCATTTGTATTTCTTCATCTGAGAAGTGTGTATTCATCCATCAAGACTTTTAGAGGTAAATGGATGCAACTTGAGACCATACTCATAAGTGAAATAAATCAGACCCATATATGTATACAATACATTGTCTCACTAGTGTGAGAAACTGAGTGAGTAAATAGGATCCAAAATATACAATAGATATTGTAAATTGAGAAGAAACTGTTAAAAGAAAAAAGAAACTAATTAGGAGAAGGCAAAGAAAGGAAGAAAAAAGGGGAAATAATATATATGCACACAAGATAGGATAGTTACACAGCTAGTTTCTCTTAGATCACTGACAAGAAAGATTTGTGCTAATATTGTCTGGACATTACTTTAGGCCTATATCTTATACTCTGAGTAACTACTATGAAGACAACAATGCACAATACACTAATTATTGTTACTCTCCTATTAGCCTGATTTGAAACTCTGTTTTATTTCTGTTTTTTTCTTTCTTTCTTTCTTTAAAATAAAAAGAAACTGTGATGGGGGAAAGGGGAGAAAGAAAGGAGGGGAAAGGAAAAAATACACATATATACACACAAGATATTTAAGATAGTAATACATGTAGTTTCTCTTAGTTCATTGAAAAGAAGGGTATGTGCTACATTGTTTAGATGGTATTTCATGCCTGCATCTCGTATTCCGAATGACCACTATGTAGACAACAATATGCAATGCATTAATTATTGTTACTGTCCTTGCTAGCCTGTTTGGAAACTCTGCTTTATCGCTACTTTTACTTTTTTCTCTTTAAAATATAAATAAATAAATAAATATAAATAAATAAAAACAAAAAATAGATCTCTACTATATGAAGCCTGTAGGATTCTATTATTAATCCATTAGGGCAGCCAGCTTTATCTTTGCTTATATACACATGGGCACACATGCATACTCAAGCTTTTCTTAGGAAGGGAGTCATAAAAGTTGCAACACTTCAGCACTAATCATGAAGGTACCCTCCTTCGGTAAACAACACATTACAGAGTACAAGTTAAATGTCTTTGCACATAGCCTGTAGTCCACACGCTTTCACTTCATGAGAGGAAATAAAGCGCAGTCAATATAAGCACCAACTCTGGAATAAGTTCTTGCTGGGTTTCAATAGAACCTTAGTATTTGTTGGCTGTATGGTTGAAACAAGCTGTGAAAAGCTCTGTGAGTTTTCTCTCTTCAACTACAAAATGTTGTGGCACCAAGAACGGGATAGACAGGTAGTCTGAAGACATAGACTGATGTCAGATTACTTGATTTGAACCACAGTATTGCTAGTTACTACCTTGGCCACTTGAATGCACCAATAGGCAAGGGCTGCAAAGCTCGGAATTTGGAGCGCAGGGCCTGTGCTCCCTTTTTGGCTCCATTCAAAGGCATGTTCACCTCTGAGTTGATGACAAGAAACCTCAGGGTTCCTACCTTACAAGTATGCTTCCCAGGATGATTTGTCTGCATTTTATATTGATAAATCTGTGCCGTGTATCTGAAAGAGAATCCCAAATAGCATGAGTAAAATTATGGGGATACCACAAAATCTGGATCCAAAGGTCACACCACCACATACTGGCTCTGAGACGTGGGCTTGATACCTTTTTCTTCTCTGCCTCTTTCCTCCCTTTGTAAAATGGGATAAAGATGGCAAACTACTTCACAGGGTTGCTGTGAGGAGTCATAATTTTATACATGTAACACGTTTAACACAGTGTCATGCATATGCCATATCCTCCATGACCATTCCCTCCCATAACTCCCTTTCTTTGGTATCTATTCTTTATCCTGCTCTTTTATGAGAACTATAAGCTCTATGATCTCTACTCTTTGCAAATTTTTCCTGTAATAAGCTTCCCCTGAATTCTTAATTCTTTCCTCATGTCTTTGTACGTGTGTTCTGTAAGCCTTCTGAGCCTTTTATGGTCTGATCTTATCAGCCTCTATTTGGGCTCTTAAACTTATGACACATATTCATTCCTCACACCATGACAATACTGGTTCATATTTACTCCAGAAGAGCCATCTGCTAGGCTGAATTTAAAACAATAACATTGGCACATAAGGGGCATTATCATCAGATTTGTCATGAACTCCCATCTGAAAGCATTACCACATGCATTTGCAGATTTGAAAAGCCGTTTGATCGATCCCACTTTTGCAACACTGACCTGACAAAGGTGTTGGGCTCCATGAATACTAATATCTCTGTGTCAGCTTGCAACAGAGTTCAGACAGATTTGCATGGTGGATTTCCCTTTACTGAAGGCTACTGATTTAAATACTAATCACATCTTTTAAAAATGTCCTTACAAAAACATCTACATTGGTTTCTACTGACAACTGGGTACCCTGCCTAGCCAAGTTCACATATAAAACTAAACATCACATCAGTAAGTGACGGCATAGTACCTCAGATTTGCTGAGTGTATTTTGAAGAATTCTGAATATCACAATTCCCTGCTGGTTTATAGAAGCGTGAACCTATCTTGAATACATTCTCTTAACTCACTGTCCTCTACTTTTTCTGAGGTCTAACATTGGGAATGTTGAAGTAAATCTGGAAAGGCAGGACTGTGCCTCTAGAGAAGAAAGAGTCCCATCAAAGAGTCCCTTATATATTTTCCCAATACTGACAAAATCTAGAGCCTTTGGAGTTGATCCTTGACTAATGTCAGCTAGAATGTCTTTATGGTGGTAATTACTCAACTGAGTAAGAGAAAAAGCAAAGCCTCAAACATTAAAACGTAAAGAATGTTATGAAGGAGGGTCACTGTGATCAGGGCAAGGTAGAACAGAAACATTGTTACTGAGTTCAGGCAAGAAAAACAGTAGAAAGTGTGTGATTACAATGATTTCTGAAGCTCCAAATGAAGAATGACATGGTGTCACACTCAAAGGAAAGAGAAGGGAGGTACAGCAATGGAACACACAGGCAAAGAAATTTTAAAGGATCCATCCAGGATGGAAAGCATATGCCCAGATGGTAATTCTTAATCCTGCCTCTGCTGATTTACACAGGCAACTCCCAGAATAATGATTTTCTCCCATGACCAAGAGCAAATTTTTGGATTCTTGTCATGCAAAGGGTAGAAACAAATCCCATAATTCACAAGTCGTAGATTAAGGAATAATTCAGTTTAGCAAAGAGAAACAGCACAATGCCAGTGTTGGCAAGAGTGGGGCTCCCCTTGGCTCCACAGACAGGAGCCCTTGAGCCAGGACGTCACCTAGACATGGTTTACGCTCTGTTTAGTGAGTGAATTTACTCCATCGTGTCCTCCCATGTGCTTCTTGCCGTAAGACAAATGCGAAAATTCATCTCATCATTATGGAAAGGAACAGTCTCCGGGGCCAAAAACTCTGATTTGGAAATGTCAGCTCTTTAGCAAAACTATGTAGAATTAAAATTATGAGTTCCCTGCAGTCAGGACTTAGGAGTATCTAGGATCTTGGCCATCTGTAGGATTTATTACTGCGCCTGACACTCAGAAGGATTCAGCAATCATAAATACCTTTATATCGCAACCCAACCATGGCACCTGCCCATACTCTGCTCTGGTTCCACCTCTCTATCACCCAGAGAAAAGCTGCTCTTCCTGAGTTCTCTTCTGTGTAGCTGGTGGTGGGGGTTCCAGGGAGACCCTGATCTCACTGTGATTATAAAGCCTCTTTTGAGTGACATGTCATCTAGAACTTACTATAATATAACCCAGTGAATGTGCTCTCGCACTGTAGCTTGGAATCTACCACAATTTCAGGTTCACTTCTTGCAGACAGTGGCTGAAGCTAAGGCTGCACACAGAACTGATAACTGTTCAAGGAGGAAAAGAAAAATATAACGATGCCAGAGAACAGTCATTGTGAGAAGCTCTGATACTGAGAAAATAGTGAAGGGCATCTCTCCCACATTGTAACAGTCTGATTAAATGTTGAATTTCTTTCCATAGAAAAATAAACTTCAGGTCAACAAGAAGGGATCATGAGTAAGGAGAGTGATTGGGTGATTCACCTCATGCACCTACCATATAGCTCTCCCACTTCCTTGATTTGCATATAAGAACTGTGCGGGCACCCAGACACTACTGTCCCTGGACATCACCTCCTGAGTCCTCCAGGATGCACGCTGTCCAGCTCCTGTTCAGGGCCAGCCCTGCAACCCTGCTCCTGGTTCTATGCTTGCAGCTGGGGATCAGCAGCGCTCAGGAAGACACGTGAGCCACGCCCTTCTCCTCCCTGCTGAAAACTCATGGGGCGGTGGCGGGGGAGCTCCCTTCCTAACCTAGAAATCAGCATACCCCTTCTTGGAGATTTTTAAACTCTGGGCTCAGGGGCTCATGGATGTGACAGTGAGTTCCACTTCTCTCCTCTTTGGAAGGGCCATCAATCCCCCTCACATTTGCTCTGCTTGCCTGTGGAATAAGGCTCACCTTGTTCACAGAGATTGCAATCAACACATAGTTTTACCCCAAGACAGACTCATGCCTGTATTCCCAGCCCTCAGGAGGCTAAATTAGGAAGGTCACACATAGTTCAAGGTCAGCATGGGCTACATAGAGAGTTCAAGGCCACCTTGAACTACATAGCAAGAGCCTGTCTCCAAAATAACAAGTTAATCTCACTCTTATTCATTGAACCACAGATCATCCTCAATGTCCTTTGTTTTCTGCTTCATAAATTTTACCAGCTTTTCAGCTCCATAAACTTTACATTCATTGCCGCTCCATAAACTTTACCTTCTCATACTTTGCCTCACACCAGAAAAGGTATGGAAGTTTCAGCAACAGCTCTGTGCAGCTTTGGTGGGACTCAATGAAGGGTGAGACCCCTCCTACCATCACCCCACGGTCTGTGGTGCAGGTAGCCTACAGGAAGCTTAGATATGTTTCCTGTCCTGAAGCCAAAGATGACGACTATGGCGGGCCTGTAACTCAAGCGTACCCTGGGACCTTGTGGGTCCTAGTTTGAGAGAAGCAGAAAATTAGGGAAGTAAAATGAATTAGGAAATGGAAATAGTGTCCCTGTGGAGAAGCAGGAACACTCAGATAAACTCTGTGTTTTTCTCTCCAACATAAGGCTTGCAGACCTGTGTTTCTGGACCATGGTCCTGGAGGTGCTCTGTGAGACTCCAGCCAGATGCCCTGTCATGGAGGAAGCTGTTCAGGGTTCTTTCAAGCTGGTGTGATGGAGATAAACATCTCATAAAGCCCCCTGTGGAGATAGGTTCAGATCCAGATGTTAACAAAAAAATACATATGCTAATGTACGTTAATTATTTCCTGGTTTTTAAATATTTTGTCAGTGGAAAAAATGGGCATATTTACTTTTCAACAAAACTCAACCTACACAAAGTACACAAACCAACCAACACATAATAGTGCTTGGGGAGTCTGTGCTGAGCAGTTGATCCAGCCCCCACCATCCCCTCCCTGGCACTGTCCCTCTCCCTCCTGCCACCTCACGGTGTCCGCCCCGTCCCATGGACTGGTCTCTGACCTCTGTGCCCTGCCTTGCTCCCCCAGAATCAGTCGGAAGGCACTAATAGTCAATGTGGAGATGCCGAAGAAAGCAAGAGCAGGGGAAGAAGTCACCTTGAAACTTAAAGTTCAGACGGAATTGAGAGAATGCATGGTGGTAAGTAGAGACCTGCGGGAGTGACCTCTCGACAAATCTGACTCCTTAATTACGAATGCCAAATAACTAACCTCGAGTACAATATAGTTAATAATACATTATCAACTACGGTATGCTGCCTGAGCCTCAGAAAAACTATGAGATTGAGAAAGATGGCTACTTTTATCTTACAAAACTCTGATCCAGCAAGGTCTAGGAAGAATGCAAAAGGGAGAGCCAAGGGATAGGAATTAAGAATGAAAGAGAAAAAAAAAAAAAAAAAAGACCTGAGACCTAGTGGTTTCTCCAAGGTCCTGAGCATGGTACATTTCAAGTGGGGTTTAGGCAAGGGGTTCCTCAGAAGAGCACACTGCAGCTGCCTGCAGTAGGCTGAAGCAGCTGAGGAGAGGAGGACTGCAGCCTCTCTCCCTCCTCTCTGTGAGCTCTGCCATGAGTCTGCTCGCCTCTCACTCGCGCTCTGCTCTGCTTTCCCGACTCGCCAGTAGCCGACTTTTTCCCAGGCCTCCCCTGACCAGCGGAGAGCTCACAGGCTTCTCCTTTCCCAGCTCAGCACTTGTCGGTGGACAGTCCACTCTCTGAACCACAGCACAGGTTGTCAAATCACAGTGCACCTAACACTCACCCAGGGTCTCATCAAAACAAGGACTCTCACTCACGCTGAAGCACAGAGAGAAGCCACAGTGTCGAAATTTCTGACACAGTCTCGGGGCAAACAGAAGCTCCGTTGCAGAGACCATGCTTAGAGGAGCTTGGGGTTACGGCAGTACGTGCCACAGTTCCCTACAACATGGCCCTTCTGATTCAAGTGGGGTTTAAGCCCGATGATCAAGCAAGAAACAAAACTGAGAGCATGAAGAGACATTTTCAGTAAAATGCATTCTAAAAGTGCCGCCTCACCAGTAAGAACAAGATTCTTGCTCACTGAGCAAAGATTATTTCCGCTGTTTTTGTCCGATATCTCTGTTTGCCACTCAACATCTTGAATCACATCTGATGACATAAGGTAGAAGGGAAGCTGGATTCATAGTTTTTCAACTTTATATTTCATTTGCTGTAACCACAAATGACAATGAGGAAACTGTGTACATATCGCACAGATTAAATATTAGTTATATTGATGATCACAGTAAATAAGGAAGTTCCACTTCCATCCTTTAAAAACTGAAAGCTTTATAGAATTTGTGCAGATCTACAAAATAACATGTGATACTGTGATCCATAAAATTATACATTTAAGAGTCGTGCTAGTGCAATACAATAGAGTGATCTTTTTAAAACCTAAGTGCAAGTAAAAGTACAAGAAACTTCAGTGTGAGTCAGTGAGTTTGCAAACAAGAAAAAAACTTGTGTAAAAGCAAATTTTGTTAACTTTACTTAAGCAATATTCACTTGTAACTTTCAATTAAAAATGAACACGTGCTTTTTAATTTATTTTAATTTTTTTTGGTCTTTTTGAGACAGGGTCTCACTATGCAGTTCAGACTGGCATTGAACTCGCTTTGTAGCCCAGGCTGGCTTTGAACTCTCAATGATCCTCCTGCCTCAGCCTCCGGAGTGCTGGGATTACAGGCATGTACCACCATGCCTGGCTGTGCTTTTGAACATATTTATACTTCAAAAATTTTAGGAAAATAGAATTTTTTAATACATTTGAAATTTTTCCTACCTCATTTTCAATCAAGTAATGTTTTACAAATGACTTTTCAATAAAGTGAGGTCTTAGGCTAATTCTCATTTTATAATTAAAACAGAATGGATTAGTCCTATGGTTATGTATTTGAATATAAATATTACATAATACTTGAAAATTGGGCCAGGTGTGCTGTTGCACACCTGTAATTGCAGTGCTCAGAAGGCTGAGGCAGAAGGATCACTGCAAGATTAAGGCCAGCCTGGGTTACAGAGTTCAAGACCAGCCTGAACTGCATAGTGAAATCCTGTCCCAAAAAGAGACTAAAGTCTAAGGACATACCACCCTGAACCCACCTGATCTCGTCCAAAAAAAGACAAAAAAAAAAAAAAAAACTATTAACTTGAATAAAACAATGTTATCCAAACAACTGATTTTAAATGAATAAAGTATATGAAATTATTTATGAAAACTATTACATTAAAAAGAATGATAAAACTAATATAAAATTGTGAAACAATAATATATGTTTATTGATGCATAAGCTGGAAAAGCAATACATTTAAACTATAAACAAGTTTCATTTTATAAAGATATGATCTGTGGAGGCTGCTGTTGCTCAGCTTGAAGAAAGAGAAAAATCAAACTGTCCTAACCTCTGATACACCTGGCACTGGACAGGCTGGACATCCAAAGGATTCTGATTTTTTAATTGCAATGCAAGTGTTGAAAATTCTCATTTGTGGTGATATCTTGTTGTAAATCCAATTTTAAAAAGTAAGCAATACAAGGATAGGTTGTTTTGAGTACTAGTATTCCCCATGGAGTTCTGAGTAGCACTGAATGAGGAAATTTCCTATGGGGCTGAGGGTTACTCAGCGCAAAACTACCAGGGATCAGAGCAAGCTTCTGGGGTAGGCAAATGGCAGGTGGCCTCAGCCATGCACAGCCAGCCACTCTGATAACTCCCACATGATCAGGGCAGTGATAAGTGTAGGCAAAATTTGAGATGTTGCAGTCTATCAAATGCTATGAACCATTTTTCCTTATTATAAAATCACACACAGTGCTGATGCTACAATGTTGCATTAATGCCTTTTGTCACTAAAGGAATGTGAAATGTCAGCTAAACGTTAGCAAAATGAAGATGCAATTTCTTTTCATCAGTATTCACACAGAGTTCATGAATGTATCCACAGGTCCCTCTGGGTTAATAGGCCCGAGGATAAAATCCTCTGTTAACACTAACTAGAAGTTGAAACATACAATAATCTGAGCTCCTAAATTGCCGAGAATTCTCAAGTTGGAAAAAGGAAGGAAGGAAGGAAGGAAAGAAAGAAAGAAAGGAAGGAAGGCAGAGGGAGGGAGGACAGGAAGGAAGGGAGAAAGGGTCATGAAGTTAGAAGGGAGCACAATGGTGCCTGGTCAGTCTTACAAGGTTGGCCTTGGTGCCTACACCCAAGTTAACAGAGTAGAAGATCACGCAGGTCAATTCCTCCAGAATCTCACTGATAACTAAGGCCAGTCTCCCCAATGGACTGCCTTCCCCATGATGAAGTTGGTGGGCTCATTTGCATATTCATGTCCCCTCTTGGGCCATGTCCACAATTGAGGCAGGAGTTAAAGACAGGAGGAGAAAGAACCTGACATCAACAAGCCCCTAGAATGACTCTACCAAAGAGGTTTTCCTCCATAGCTCTGGGCCACCTCAATCTTCTTCATCTCTTGTGTTTCTTCTTTCAATACACCAAATTTATACTGATTCTTTTCTGCCCACGAGATTAAAGCTTACCTCGAGAGCAACAAACCAACTGAGGGTGCCTTCAACTATAAATACACCACCTGCCTCTGTAAAGATTACCCAAGAACCTTGTCCTGGGACATCCAGACCAACAGTGAGTACAAGCATTGTCTAAGAGAGGGGCTGTCCACCAGGGAGGGAAAAGCAGAAACAGAATTGTTAGGTGGAAGTGTAGAGGGTAGGGTGGGGACGGGAACCATGGAGAGCCGATGGAATGATGCCCAGGATCCAAAAGGAAGGAACTGCTCTAGAAAAGTTAAAGACAGGTAATCAATTTGCAAGTGATTCGGGGAAACTGAGCCCCACTAGGCAGGTACCTGATCCCAGCAGAAAATAGAAGACCCTGTGATGTGTCTGAGATGATCTTTGTGCTTCTCTCTTTCAGGCACCTTACATATTGCAGCAGTGGTTGACATTATTCAGGAAAAAAATATCTGTCCTAAAGATGATGCAGTGATACCGATCAAAGGAGGTCGGGTTGCTGAAATTAGTACCCTGGTCATAGAGTAGTGGAAACCCTTCTGCATGTCACAATGTCCATTTGGTTTTCAAAGTATGGCTGGGGAATAAGCTGCAAACTCTAAAATAAATTTCTCACCACCTTCCCTTGTTCTACTGTACTTCCCTTCAAAATCTGTCCTTGAAATCCTCCCAGAGCCCCAAATTTCTAGAACATTAGTCTTTGAAAGACCTTTAATGGAGGAGACTTTATTGGTCTCACTACATATTGTCTTAAAGAAACAGAGAAGAATGAAAAAACATTTTCACAGAGAACATTAACTTTTGCTCTTATCTTTATAATTTCTTTCCTTGTACTGGCTTTAGATTTGGATTATTCTTGTTTTTCTAGGATCTTGACGTTCATTTTTAGGCTATTTATTTGGCCTTGCTCTGTTTTACTGATGGAGGCATTCACAGATATAATCTTCTTTCTTAAAAATTTTTGTCATTGTACAGTTGAGAACAATACTTTTTTCAACAATGGAGGAGAGAAACCTTAATATCCATATGGAAAAAACTAACCTTAGTACTTATCTAAAACACAAAACAATCCAGAGATCATATAAAAAATTTTTTAAACAAATGAATAAAGCAAAAGGACCTTCTAGAAGATAACTAACATGACAATTTTTGTAAATTTGGAGTAGAAAAAATATTAATGATAAAAGGCACTGAAAGTGTAAACTTTAAAAATAAGAACTTCTGTTCATAAGGAGACATCATTAACAAAATGAAAGTCAAGACAGGGAAGAGGAAGTGATATGCAAAAAATATCTGAAAATATGAAGGGAAATTCTACTATCAATAAGAAAAGATAAGTATCCCAGCCACAAAATGGGCAAGATCCCTGAACAGGCATTTCACAAAAAGAAATATACGACCTTCAGACAACAAGTGAACAGTATAAATCAATTTTTGATCACATAAAAAGTAAAAATCAAATCAAACATGCTTCACTACTAACCCAACAGAAAAGCCAAGACTAAAAGGATTGACAATAACAAATACTTGTGAAGGCATTCTGAAGCTCTCTACTAAATATAAAGATAACATACCCTTTACTTGTGTAGTGATACAGCAACTTCACCAAAAACACACCCTTTCTTCCTGGGTGCAGATAACCGACTTTCCCCATCTTTTGTATCATCTGTGATGGCCGATGACTAAGCTGTTTCGAAAAAGACAGAGGGAATCAACCACTTCAAAATCTACAAATACATATACCCTCCTCCTTATCTTAGTTACTTTTCTCATTGCTGAGACAAAATACCCAATAGCCAAAGTTAAGGTAGCAAAGCTTTATTTAGCTCATAGTTTGTAGAGGTTTCAGTACATAATCAGCTGGCTCCAATACAGGGTGGCACATGGAAGAGGGGTAAACATCAATGACAATGAAAGACAGCAAAAGCAACAAGGGAGAGAAAGAGAGAGAGAGATGCCTCTTTCTGTCCCTTATATTGTATCCAGTCTGCCCGGGATTAGGGTGGTGCCAACCCAATCAGTGAACTAATGCAGTAATCACCCACCTTTAATCCCAGCACCCTTAATCCCAGCATTGCACTATGAATCAATCACACACTCTAGATTCAGCCACCTTCAAAAAGCCTGCCCCCAGATCTACATGAGGCTTTGGGGGGAACAACTAGACACAAACCATAAGAATCCTGCATTCTCTCTTCTACCTTTTAGCAACCAGACATGTATGTCCAATGTGACCTTGGAAATGACATCAACAATGACATTTTTAACACCACAGGCACATTTAGCCCCTTTTCTCTCTGACAGATTTTATGTGAGCTACAGATACATTTCCACTGTATGAAGCCTCTAAGATTTTATTAGTAATCCATTAGGGTTGCTAGTTTTATAGTTGCTAATATGTGCCCACATGCACACACACATGTACAAGCTCAGGCTTCTCTCAGGAGAGTTCTGATGCAGACTGCAACACTTCAACAGTGATTTTGAAACTAGCCTTCTTTGGTCAACAGCTTATTACCTACTAACTGAAGTTAAATGTCCTTGTTCAGTTCCTACAGCACTCATGTTTTCACCAATTAAGAGGAAATAAAGAGCTGTCAGTAGAAGTGCCAACTCCAGGTTAGCTTCTCACTGGGCTTCAATACCACTTTCATATTCTTAGCTGTGTGACAGGAATGAGCTCTGAAAATCTCTGTGAGTTTACAGACTATAAAATGTTGTGACAACAAAAACAAGACAGATAGGTAGTGAAAGGACATAGACTCATATCAGATTAGTTGACGTTGAATCTCAAGCTTGCTAGTTACTAACTTGACCATTTGAGCACACCAACAATCAAATAGTCCAACACCCAGAATTTACAGCTAGACAGCCGACATTCCCATTCTGGAACAATATACAGGTGTACCCACCCCTGAAGTGATAACAAGAAGATTCATGATTCCTAACTTACAGATGCCTCTTCAGGATCTTTTATCTACGTTTTATATAGACAAATACATGTTAGGTTTCTGAAAGAGTCTCTCAAATAGTGTGAATAAAAAAATTGGGGATACCACAAAGTGTGGATCCAAAGTTGACTCTACAAGTTACTAGCTCTATAACATAGGCAAGATACCTATCCCTTCTGTGTCAGTTTTCACAATTGTAAAATGAGATAAAAGCACAGCTTACTGTCTAGGATTTCTGTGGGCATTCAATGATCTGATGCACCTAAAATATTTAACACAGTGCTGTGCAGAGGCCATGTCCTCCCTGAGTACTGGCCACTGCAAGTCCCTTTGTCAGCCATTCTATACCTTGCTCTTTCATGAAAACTGTCAGATCTATGATCAGTCTTCTCTTTGCAAATGTAGGCTGTGATGAGCTTCCCCTGAATCCTTAGTTCTGTTTTCTGTAAGCCTCCTGAGTTGTTTACAACTTGGTCTTATCAGCCTCTTTTTGGTCTCTTAAACTTGAGAGACTTGTTCATTGCTTACAGTGTGATAGCCTTGCCTCATATGTTCCCCCAAAAATCCAAAGGCTAGCTTGAATTTCACAATAATATTAGCAAATAAGTGCAATTATCATCAAATTTGTCATAAATGCCATTTTAAAAGCATTGCTACCTATGTGTAATCTATAGATTTGAAAAGCCATGTAGATTCTATCCTGCTACTGAAATACTGGCCTTTCAAATATAGTCAGCCCCATGGGTAATGATATCTCTATATCGACTTGGAATAGACTTGGAACACATAGACTTTTGCACATGGATTTGCCTATGACCTCCTCTTAAGCCAAATCCAATGAAAATAAGCTGTTTTAACTGAAGGCTATTGATTGCAATGATAACCACATCATTTAAAAGTATATTTATAAAAGATCCAGATGATGTTTACCCACAGCTGGGTAATATGCCTCGTCATGATGACACATAAAATTTATTACTCACCAGTTAATGCCTGCATAGTACTTACCATTTTTTTAGATATTCTGTATGGTTCAGAGTACCCACAACTCCCAGATGGTTTATATGAAAATGGGAGCTTTATGCTCTATAGATTTCCTTAACTCCTTATCTTCTGCTTTTGCTGGCAACTGCCTTGTTGGGGGTGTTGCAGATAAATCCTGAAGGGAACATCTGTGCCTTCAAATAGGGTGAGCCCCATTAAAGAGCTTTTCCTACATTTTCCCAATGTGGACACAGTCTAGAATCTTTGGCCTTCTTCTTTGGCTAATCTTACCTAGAGTGTCCTGATGGTAACTACACAAATAAGTAATAGAAGAGCAAAGCATTAAAAATTAAAACATAAATGAATGTTTATGAAGGGGCATCATTGCCACCATGACAAGATGGTACAAAACTTCCTGAGTTGAAGGAAGAGAAACAGTGTAGAAATCATCTGATCACAAAAATAGCTGAAGTTCTACGTGAAGAATGACATGGTATCCAACAAAAAGAAAAGAGTGTGGAGATATGGCAATAGAATAAGCGGTAGAAGAAATTTTAAAATATACATCTTGAATCTGAAAACATACATGAAAATGTTAATTCTGAACACTAGTGCTATGGCAGTACATTTGGACAACTCCTAGTACAATTTTCTCTAATGTCCAAAGGATCTTTCGGGACTCTTACCATGCAAAGGATGGAAATATATTCAATAATTTACAAGTCATAGATTAAGGAATAATTTTATTTAGCAAAGAGAAATACCACAATATCAGTGCTGGGAAGAGTGAGTCTCCCGCTCGTGGTTCCCTGGAAGGAGAGCTTCTGGCGCACAGGGAGCTGTGGGTGGGGAGCGCCAGCCTTCTGGCTGGCTAGCTTCCTGCCTGCTGGCTCCCAGAGGGTGGGCCCCCGGCACACAGGGAGCCTGGGGTGGGGAGCGCTGGTTTTTTGGATCTTTGGACTGGCGACTCACTCCCAGCCTCGTGGTTCCC